ATTTTTGGGCCAGGGCGAAAGATGCTTGGGGGGTTTGGGGGGGGGGGGGTGCAGAGAGGCAAGGGGAAGACGAGCGTCACGTAAAATGACGTACGAACGCGTGTATGATAGGGCGCCGACGGCGACGGTGACCCAACCAGAGACACAATGGTTGGTTGAGTGTGTTTACTTACTCGGTGTATTTGCACTAGCCATGCGTTCCGACAGCACTAACCAACGTGGGCGTAAACGGCGAGGAACGTTTTGTAGCCGTGATGATCCTGATACGCTGCATGATGCATGATGCCCTGTTTAATGGTCTGGGTAACCAAACAAATTGCTTCCCGCCCGAATATGTACATCTTTTCAGAAAATGAAGACTACAAACAAAAACAAAAAAACAAGGAACGAACCCATTGCAGTAGTTGCTACACCAGCAGCTTGTACCCGTCCGACTCGGCAAGATGACATGTGGATTTGCATCTCATCTTATCTTTTACAGCAGCTAGGGGTGGGAAGGGCAAGCGTCGACTTTGTTTTGAATCTTGGGAAGAAAAAAGATTCCAGTCCAGAAATCTGTTACGGGTACAGTCTGCCTTCGTTTGTAGAAGCATATATATTTTCCCAATATTTAAGCTGGTACAGCGGTAGTCTAGATACGCTCAGAGCAGTGATGCCACCAGCCTGAACGAAACCAGCTAGGGTAAAAGGGCACACGCATGTCATACGCATGTTTACGGTATGCCTCATGTGGAAAAATGCACACATCAACGTGCATATACAGCAGTGTGCATGAACGAACATCGATGTTTTGAAACAACAATACGACTGTGGGCATATCTCGAATGGGTATTGTAGTCTTTCTGCGTGTGTTTTTATTATTCATGAATTAGTTCATTTACATCCACAGAAAAGAGCCCCAGAAATAGATGAGAACCAAGCTGCAAGTACGTGGTACGTGACAAGTCTTAAGTTTTCGACACCTCCACTGCTGTCTCACCGTCTCACTCAGCCTGTCTCTTCATTGCAGGCAAACAAAGAAACGAGCTCATTCTGCGTACTCACAGTTGAAGGTGGTGTGCAGGTTTGCAATCGGACGTCGTTGAAACAAAGTTCAACGCGTACAACTACGCTACAAACATTGCCGCGTGCACAGCAGTATTCTACAATATTATACCAGCAATATTGCGGCGTGGCGTGCAACGCACAAGACAGATCGCCTATGCATTAAGGAATAATAAAAACACACACAGAAATCTATGCATACACAACATGTGAAGTATGCACATGATCCGTTTCCACCATACGACGGAGGGACAGCAGCTTTCACACACTAATTTCGGTATATTTAAATAAATAACGAATTTGAGAATAAATGCGGTTCTTCCTGTGCTGGGAATACGTATGAGTGTGGTTGACTGCTGTCTCCCTTATTTTTTTTTCCAAGGCCACTGTGTCCACGTTCGCCGTTCGCATGTACAAGACGGAAAATAAAAACAGCATGCGTCTCCGACGGCTGTGGCTTACGCGTGTGCTACCAAGCCGGCTAGCTGGGGGTAGGATTTCTGCTGTCTGGGGCAAAAGCAAGTTGGAAGAAGAGGCAAGCGCTCATGCTGTGCGCGCCACCAAAACGGGCTGATCGCAAATCTTTCGATGTTTTTATCTCTTTATATATGGGCTCTTGCTCAACCAGACCAACACAAAAACGAGCAAGAAACGACATGTGTTTGCCGATCTCTCCTCCTCTCACTGCTGCGATGCCCGCGCAAAATGCCACCTCGGCAGCAAACACCTTCCCCCTCTTCTCGCTCTGTTGAAGAGCGCAAGAGCGAGTCGCCGGGCATCCGGGCAAATGTAAAACACCGGGCGTATCAACCCGGTAATCGGCGCCGACCCAATAGCCTGCGATATGAAAGAATCCCCTCGTGCCCTCTTGCTTGCCTCACCTCTATCGAAAAACGCTGCAACAAGTCCTGGAGCATGGCCATCGCGAGCTGCGCCGCGAGCGCCTCCCCCAGCGCCGGGATCAACCGCGTCTTGCTGGAGCCCGGCGTGGGATACTTGGAAACTGGGAACCACGCACACACGGACAGGAGATTCATCGAGAGCACGCGGAGTGAGGGTGATGATGAGAGAGATTGAGACAGAGAGCGAGCGATCAAAAACATCAACAGCGAGGAAGCCAGGCCAGGCGCGTCGACCGATCCTCTTCCAACGCACGCGACCGGGGCGGGCGGGCGGGCGGGCGGCAGAGTTCCTACCTAGCACTAGGGTGGCGCGCCTCCCCGCGTCCTTGTTGGCCTTGTGCTCCTTGTCCCCCTCCACCATCGTGCCGACGATCGTGGTACAAATGGTGTGGAGGCTGGTGTTTTCGTGGGCTCCCGCTCGATCAGTCTTCTTGCCACACCGCTGACCACGTGCGTGGCACGCAAATTCGACAACCACACGAGGCTCGCTCCACAAATCGAGGGCGCTGCGAAAGCCGCGGTGGTGTGCGGGCTTAGGTGTTGCTGCTCTCCGGGTTTGGCGTCTTCTTCCTCTTGGCGCGGACAGCGGGTGGAAATGTTTCGCCACGTGCTGAGCAGGTTTTCTTTGAGGCAGGGGGAAAGATAAAGAGTTGTTTATGTGGCGGGCGCGGTCGTACCATACCCACAGCAAAAAAAAAAAAAATTGACCGGGGTGTAGGGTGGACGGCGGTGTAGGTCAGATAGATCATCATTGCCCCGTTTCGGATCTTTCGCCACTACGGGTGCATACCACGGACGGGAATCTTTCATGATTAGCTGGCGGTTCCGCGATGAACTAACCCTCTCCGAGAGTGTTCGCGTGCTTACGGCTCCGAGCAGACGGAAGGACAGGGTTTGTTCACCCTCTCTCTCCCTCGTCGGACACCATCAAACCTAAAAGTACTTACTTGTACCTTGAGTAAGACGCGCCCTGGTGTTGTTGCGCATGAAGGGCGGACACCAGTTTTTTTATTCTTCTTCTTGATGTTTTATTAGGCATGATGAATACTGCTGTCATATCTTCGGCGGCGTACCGCTGTTGAGACACATGTTTCGCTCTTGCTTGCTTCGGTGGTCCATAACCTTTGTTCTATCCTATGTAAACGCCAGTAAATACCCTCAAGCGTTCGAAACAATTCCCCGCGTTCGAAGGGATCCCTTCAAGTGTGCGTTGAAGTCTTCACAGAGCAGTGACGGTCGAGGCGTGTCTTGGCGTAGACTACAAGCAACAACAGCAGTAGTAGTAGCAATGTACAGCAGCAGTCTATTGGGTGTTACTTTTGAGACGATGATGTTGTTGAAATATTAGTCTTCTCTTACGGCCACGTCTGTAAATAAACGCTCGTCGGCACCCACCCCTGTCGCCGCCGCGAAGCTAGCATCAGGATTATTTCGGAACTCAAATTCTCACCACCACCACCATCTCGCGGAGACCTCGGAGATAATAATATTAGCATTGGTCGTTAAGTGTACACAACGTACTACTGAGTGAGAATGGGACACCCCCTCCGTCCTCCTGGGATCGCTGCATGCACATGGTGTAGGGGTGGAACGGAATCCATCCACGATCGGTGCGTGGCGTAAAATGTAACACGATCTTGCTGATATCTGAAAAATATCAAAGGTGCGAGGAGTTTCACGGCTTTCTTCCTGTCTGTCTGCGTACACCGATGGCACGAAGGTACTAATAATGCACTGTTGTGCACGTAATCACATCTTCTCGAGCTTGGACCTCGACGCTACTGCCAACATGTATGTGGTGGATGATATCTATTTTCTGCAATGATGGCCCATGATTATACATGTAGCAGCCGTCTCGGCTTGTGCTAACTTCTTCACCCACCACGCTGTATGTTGTCTGGCGTATCGTCTACCGCGAGATATGTCGTTGTTGTTGTATGTCATCTCCGCACTCCATTCATCATGAAACAACACACAGCAAGAAAACGAAACAAGGAAACTCCGAAATTCGCCTTGCTTGGCGAACTCCACGCTGCTGCTGGTGGGGGCAGCAACGGGCCTCTCGATCAGCGTTTTTAAGCAAGTTGCCCAGGTTTTACCCGATCGATACGACGCTGACGAATTCGTTCTCACTGTACACTGTACACGACTTCGTTCTGAACTTTTAGGCCTCACGGACAGGGGGGGGGCGTACCAGACATGTATCGCATCATTCATTCCCAAAATCGTGAAAAGAGTCGCTTTTACAGAATCTGACTCTCCCCTTTCCCCCTGCTGCAGAAAGGGGCCGAAGGTGATGTATTGCCACTGCATCAGGGGCGTCAAGGGGGTCGACCGCCACCCGTACGGAACAATCTGAGGAAGGGCGTACCCGATCGCCGTCAAGCCCGCCACCGCCGTAGGTACAAGTTAATCGCCCCGGCCTTGCTTGCACCACTCACGAGGTAGCAGCTTGTTTCAGGCTCAGCCCTCAGCCCTGGGGTGAAAAGCTGTGCCGGAGCTTGGAGAGACTGAGCACGACGATGAACCACGAAAAAGAGGAAAAACAAAGCCAGGTTGGCATACTTTCCGCGTACAGTACTGCTGTATCGACGATGGGTCCTCTAACAAGACACAGACACCGACATAATGTTTTCCTCAAGGTCAGGAAACCCACGTTGGCAAAAGAAACTGGGGGTGCGCCGAAAGTTTCAGGAGAAAAATCAACGTAGAAGAAAACAAGCCCTCGGAAGGAGGTCATACAACACGAAGGAAGGCGCCGCTGGCATCCCCAACACCCAACGTCCATCCAGCCCCTTGCGAAAAGGATGGCGCGCCAGTCTACACACCGGAGCCTGGCGTTCACCTACGGGCAGTGCGATTTCTAGGCGACACCTCGCCGAACCATCGGTACAACGCCTATGTATGCATAGCACACGTAAAAAAAACACACATGATGGGGGTCAACACGAACATGCCAGCAGGACCAGGGAGATGCTGGTTCACGGGAAAAGCGGAATGTTCCTCCCGGTCGCAACAAGTCGGCTAACACAGAGTTCAAGCTCTTGCACCGGCAGCCCGTCGAGTTCTTACGCAGCAACACCCCCCCACACACGCACTACTCCTGGAGGCCCTACAGTCCAAGGGCTTGCATGTCGATGTCGAGGGTGGGGATCTCCCAGACGACCAGCCTTCCGTCCAAGCCTACCCAAAGGTCGAGGGACCGAATTGCGGAAAGGGCACAAAAAAAGTACATGTATCAAGGAAAATGCCAACGGAGAAACAGCATGGCGCGGGGCACCGTTCGGGAAGACGGTCAAGCAACCGAAGCGAAGACAGTGCGCCTGTGTACACATGACCAGCGAACTCACGCGGAAGCTTCGACAGCAAGGCGAGGGGACTGCTGTTGCGTGCGCGGGTCTAACGGCAGCGGCGATCTGAGCAGCAGCTTCGTGCCGAGATAGCCAAAGGAGAAAAGGGGTGGTGATATCATGTTAAGCATTTGCTCTTGAGAGTTTCGGAAAATGGTGCGACGTGTTTGCTATCGACAGCTTCCGCCGCCCATCTCGCCGCACATGATACGCTTCCTCCAAGCAAGCGTACACAGCAGGCCGCTTCCAACAAAATAAGTCAGCCACCACCCCCGCCGTCAGAACCATCGCCGCCGCCACAGCACAGCGCAGGACACACGCGTCCGCCACCAACCTACAGCACAGCGCAGGACACACGCGTCCGCCAAACACGGACGCACACCGAAATACTCCCCCCGTTCGTCCCATCCGCGTGTCCCTCCGCCCTCCGTCAAACCCTGCGCCTTCCGCCCATCTTCCTTGTCTTCGCCTGAGCGAGAGGACACAAAAAAACGACGGGGGGGCGCGCGCGCCCCGAAACAAACTCACCGCACGTCGACAGCTTAGAACAAGTCGGGTCTCCCGCCCGCCCCATGCCCTCGATGCCGACGATGGCGTTGGCGTGCTGCGTCCACAAGTCCTTGCCCGCGCCGCCGGAGGACGCCTGACCCCGGGTGGTCTTGGCCTGGAACATCGCTCTCGCCGCGGACATGGAGCTCACGGCCCCCTCCGCCTTCGCCGGACCGGTGGACTTCTCGTCAAGCCTACGGAGGAACGACCTGACGGAGGAGCCCCAGCCAAAGCAGCGGGTTAACCCACGACAGGGGGGTGGTGGAGGGTCGGTCGGCGAAAGAGGGGGCGGGGGGGAGGCACGGCTCGTACCGTGAGTGATTTCTGGACCAATTTCTGGTCTGAGTCTTTTGGGCGTGCTGGCGGTCAGATCCCGGGCGGTAGACACTTGCGTCCATCCAGCCGCCAGAGAGAGCTCTCAGTACAGAGAACCACGCCAGGTACATTGTCGAGAGGCAGAAACTCGCAGCCAAGCCTTTCCCACGACCGCTTCTCATCCCCGCCTCCTCACCTCCCTCCCTCCCTCCCTCCCTCCAACCCCCACTATGATAGAAAACACGCCGCAATCCATGCTGGCGGGTAGAGACAAACATTCGTCCTTGAGCATCTCACCATTGTCCGGAGGAGTTCGCCGTGAACACCAAGGGGTTCATGTCGTGCCCCCCCCCAACCACCGCCTTGTCGCTGAGGAAAGCCAGGCTGGACACGGGGAGGAGGGCGTACCTCACGCTCTGCTCGCTCACAGCCCCGCTGGGGTCGAAGCGTACGAAGTGGATCGTCGAGTCCTGACCTGCGTACGGAGAGACAGAAAAAGCACCCACACGCACAAGAAAGAAAGGGTTCAGCGGCAGGACTCGGTCGGTCGTCTGCAAGGAAGTTCACCAGCAAACCTCTGGGAATCCAAATTCGAGAGCGGGGTATGCACATAGGTCTCGCGTGTAAGTCTTGTTGTCAGATGAACTTAATGAGCGGTAGTCTTGTGGGATGTCCTATTTATCTGATCAAAACGAAGATGCGTTGTGGGTTCGATTCCCGCGTATCGTAAAAGCGGGGCTCTTCTTCCGAACATCCACGCCACCTTGCTGCTAAGGACAAAAACCAAAGGTTACAGCAGTCGTTGGCGGGTGTGTGTGTCTTCGCGGGGGGTGGGTTCACGACGTACAATCAATAACGGAGGCGCTGCTCACCCGCATACGCCAGGATGGAGCCAGAGGGCGACCAAGCCACCGCGGTCACCCAGCCCCCGCAAGAGAACTGGTGGTAGGCCTCTCCGAAGGGCTTGACAGTCCCGAACGGTCTCGGGTCGGGGTTTGTATCCACCTGGTTGCCACGGAAACAAGCACACACACACGGCGGTATGTGCGGAACGGGCCCGGCCGCGCAGCCGTATACCGTAGGTAGCGTAAGATACCACCCTATCTGCCGATTATTGTGGCTCCATCTACTTTGTATCAAAAGCAGTAGTGCAGGTGCCAACAATGTCGACCTTGGAATTGTCTCGTCGACAGGGTTCCGAAAGTAATCGTTCGAGTCGTACGTCCTCTTCGTTTGTGGAGTACTGTAATGGGGTTTTGAAAATCGGCCCAGGGGGCGTGGTATCTCATGCGACCAAAGACACGCAACACGCACGGTTGAAGGGAGGGCAATGTTGTACAGGTTGCGCGTGAAACCTAAGCGGCGGCTTGAACGGCAGGTCTTGCAGACAAGTCAGCATGTTGAGGAGGACAGACCCCACCCCTTTTTACGGATTGCCAACAGTCAGACGCATCGTATGGAAACCACAAGATTTCTGCTTGCTTTCTGAACGATTTGCCTACACGCTGCTCCACGCCCAAACATGTGCTACCGGCCTCCTCGGCGTATTAGGTGTGCGTCTCTTCTAGTCTGTTGGCCACCGAGATGACCGACAAGCGACCGACCACGCAAACCTTCGAGAAAAACGGGTGTGCGTGCGGCAACGCCACGGCAAGGACGCACCTCCTCAACCACCGCCGACACAACCCGGCATTTGAAGTCCGTGCACGCGGTAGCAAGCACAAGACCGTTAGGATGCCATGCCACCTTCTGGACCTGTATGTAGGCAGACATGGCAAGCGCGGGGAATCGATTCGACCACGACGAAAGTATTTGTAGTAGCAAGTAAACGGGCAACAAGAAAGGGATCAACCCCCATGGAAAATAGCAAACATACATTCGCACATGAGAGGTGGGCAGCGACAAATCATAGCGCAGGGCGCGTGGGATCAGAGTAGTACATGCAGAAGAGAAGCAAAATGAAGGGTGCAAAGAGAGGGGAGAGGCAATAATATGGTGAAAGTGTGGGCGAACGCCCAGGTGTGCCATCCATGGTTTTCTAAACATCGAATGCGCCACGACCAAGAGGCTGCCAATACTGCCGACAAGGGCTGTTTTGGGATTATCCCGTCTACATTATGCCCTCCTTACACGTGTCGACAGGGTTTCAACAGCAACCTCTCGGCGGTGGGTCAATCGGTCTTTCAATGATCGACCGCGCGCCTGTGCGTTGCGTTCGCCGGCGCTTTAACGGCAACGCCCACAGGTAGTCGCTAGCGAGAGGCTGAAATAACCAGTACGTCTGCTGTAGCCGCACGTGCTGTGTGTAGTCGTACGCTGAGTACACTGCCTTCGTGCTCTGCCGTACGAGCTGCGTCAAACGTTGCCATTCGAAGCGCGCGGGCGCCTTCGCTCACCGTTGACTTGTGACCCTTGATGAGCTTGCTCACGTACCAGTCGCTCCCTTGCGAAGTGTCCAACCGACTGACGGCGATGGTCTTCGCCCCGCTCGAGCACGCAAACTTCGTCCCTGCCACCAACAAAACAAGTAGCACCCAGGTGTCACGACTAAAAATTCACCAATATACATATTAGCCGTCCCACCAACAACATTAGTATCACCCGGTGTCACGACTCAATTCGCCCAAAAATAGCCGTCCCTGCCGCAAAAGAAACAACACCCGGTGTCACGACTCAAAATTCGCCAAGTAAGCCACGGCCTTCACGAAGAGTCCACAACACGCATGCGCCTAGTTTGCAACACCGTCAGCGCACCCCCATCGCCACAGCGGCGGTTTCGGCTGTAAACACGTAAACACAATACTTGTATACCCCGTGTTTTGGTCCTTTCACCTGATGGGCTCCAATGGACGTCCAAGGCGGCGCGGGTAAGCATCAGGGCGCACAGGATCGGATTCCACTTGGCCTGTTGGCAATCAAAACCATGAGTTCGGGAGAGTGGACAAGAACGACCGATCAAATGTTCAAACGGCATCAGGTGGATGACAAGCAAGGAAGGGGAGTATGTATGTACAGCCGATTCACGGCGTTGTTGCGGCATGTGTGAGCGTGCGGGGAAGATGTATATGTAAACGTGCTTTGCATACAACGGTAGTGACGGAAGGTCGCACACGCTGCGCGAAGCACAGAGACGACCGAGTCTTTTTCTCATTTCCGACCACGTCCGCGACACGGCCGGTGGCACAAGCCCACCAAAACGCGCGAACTACGGGAGCCCAATGAGCAACAACGATTGGCAGCAGCAGCAGCAAGTAGTCCCCGCCCCCCTCCCCTCTCGCCTCCGTTCACTGGGCAGCAGCAGCAAATAGTTCCCTCTCGCCTCCCCTCTCGCTCCAAACCCGCCATATCGCTCCGTCCCGGCGTTGTAGGGACGCGAGGCCAACGGTCTTGGCATGCGTATGCATAAGTAGACCCCCCCCCACTCCCCCTCTGTCCTGGCGACGATTGCAATCAGTGCCACCCACCACAAATACACACCCCCTTACCTGCGCGGCGTCGTAGGACCACACGAAGGCGTTTCGGTCGTGCGAGCAGGTGACGATCTTGTTGGTCACGGGGGACCAGGAGATGCCGGAGATGACCAGGTCGTGCTCCTCCAGCACGTGGGCCAGGCGCCAGGACGCGAAGCTCGGGCTGTTGCACCCTTCGTAGATCTGCAGCCGGTTGTCGTTCGCGCACAGCGCCAGCACTAGCGTTGCAGGCAGGCGGGCAGGAAGGCGCAGAGAAACGAGTGCGAGCTTTGTGTGAAGCTTCTCGAGGAATGCCAAAGAGGAAAGGGCATGGGAAAAAGTGTGCATAGATCACGTTGTGGGTACCGTGTGAGAAAACGCCGTGTCACGTCCTCTGCAGCCGGATTTGGTGTCGTCGGGGGCGTTCGTTTCCCAACAAAGCGTTAAGGGAGTGGGAAGGCCTGCCGTGGGGCACGACTAGACGAATGGTTTGTTGTATTTTTGCTCTGCAAACGTTAGTAGAGGCACAACCGCTGCGCTTAGCCCCCAGCACTGCTGCAACATGTAAATACAGCAGCAGTACACTTTTACTCGGACGAGCATGCTTTTATCTGGCACAGTTGTACCTGCTGCCTCATGCACAGTCGCATGCCTTGCCTCTCTGCCTTGCTCAATGTTTCTCGGCCAACGTGCGTAAGCCGCTGTCCCACATAGTGCCGCTGCTAACCGTGGGTATAGCAGCACGACCAGCCCCAGGATACGACTGCATTCTGTCGATGATCTCGATACGAAACTCCCTCCTAACGAACACCGAGAAAGGCGAGTGTCCCCAGCTCTCCGAAAATGCGGCGCAATAACGAAGTCAATACAGAAAGTTTGCAATAGAGCCAAGAGCACCGGTACTTGACGCACTGAAAGCCAACAACATACACAGAGCAAGGGAACCACTCACTTGACTTGTCGGCGTTCCACGCGTGGCACGAGATGCCCGCCGAAGGTGAAACCACTTGGTGTTTGATGGGCGGCATGTTCGCTCTCTCCGAGCGGAATCTCTCTCACAACTCACAACAACAGTCGCTGCTTTTCTCTCCTGTCCTCCTTCGCTGACCTCAACACACTCCTGGCTTCACACCAACGGAGTTGCTTGAAAAACACAATGTTCTTGGGCCCGTTTACCCGACCACACAGCGCCTATGGTGTGGCGCCTTGCTTATAGTCGATGGCGTCGAGTTGGGTGTGCACAGCACAGTCGAGTGCTACAGGTGCTAGGTGTCCACCCACCTCCGTATCAGCCCAACGCGTGCCCCCCGCCTGATAGTTGCCCCGCAGGCCCACGCCGCCGCACTCGGACTCCATCACATATCGTAAAACGGGAGCCATGTTGGTCGCTAACCCTGACGTGATTCGATGGGGGCTCGTCGGTGCTGGGAGTGTGTGCGAGGTGCGATGGAGTTGTGGCGTGGCTTGGACGAAACCCTTGATCTGCCTTTTTTGAAGCCAGGGCCATAGTCTAAGTCGGAACATTTAATACTCACGCGCTCGTCTTCCTGAGGGCACAAGCAGCAAGCAGTTTAGCAGTGAAAGGGCTAATATCAGCAGCAATATATCACCCACCACCACCTCCGCGGCGATGGTCTTTCTTCTCAGAGATTTAACGGTAATTTTGAGGGGACACATAGTGTGTGTAAGTACACGAAGTCTCCGTCTGCTTGGAACAAATGTGACACATGTTCATCTTTTGCGACGCGGTGATTTCGTCTCTCACATCACGGGTGTAGCTTGTGTTGCTGTAACCAAGCAACCATTGCTCAACCCAACTGCTGTGCATCCACTTCCTGCTCGAACCATCACCAGGTTAAAAGCGGTCCCGCGTTTTACAAGGCTCCAGGAAGCTCCCTCGTTGCGGTAATGGTGAGTTCATGACGAAACACTTAGGCTAAATTTCTTCATAGACAGCACTGAGCACCAATACCCCGTGCTTCACGAAGTTGTACATTGCAGTGCGTCATCACCACGCGGAGACACAGCTCGGATGCAGGTGTGACGTTTTGCACCAGAGAAGCAAATCGAACGCTCAACTGCACAAAAGACATGGACGATACAAATGCCTGTGAGCACTCACTCCTTGGCTTACAAGACTGGTCGTGCTGGTTGCTTGTGCATGGGGCGATTTCAAGCGGAGCCATTGAGCCTCATGTCTCATGGTAGCCTTGTCGTCTCGCTGCTAGAGTTTGCTGCAGGACTATTCCACGACGGTGTCGATGCACGGCGCATCTCGTTGTGAGGAGTCTGTCGCTGGTGGAATCACGATCGCAATTGTGCCACACCCACAACGCTTTGCCCCTGATATCTGCAGCACCTTGGGAAATTTCATCAAGCCATGGAAAAAGCGTACGAACCGAAGCTTCACTGATTGTTCCTTGCCTTGCGTACTCCTATACATAGGAAACAACAGGACGCCACATTCGTCGTCCTCTCCCTCCGATTGTTTGTTTTTTGGTGGGGGTGGGCGGGCCCACCGCCGCCTCTCCGGTTAAGTTCCCTGTGCCGCCTTCGTTTCTGTTTCTCCCCATCGGGGTCGCTTGCGTCCTGTTCGCAATTTATCATCACCCCCCCCCGGTGCGATGCTGGTCCGGTGAGAACCCGGCGTGCTACGTCCGGCTTGTGTAGGGATGCAAGGTCAATGCTCTAGCCTCTAAAAGGCGTGCTAAACATGAGCACCCGCCCCCCCCCCAATAGCGTCGCACAAAGAGCGCCGCGGAAGACTTCGCCAAGCGGCACGGCGTACCCAAGTTCTACACCGAGCTGGACGAGCTGCTGCAAGACCCCGAAGTGGACGCAGTGTACGTGGCCACCCCTCCCGGTACCCACAAGGAGCTCGCCCTCCGGGTCTGCGCCGCGGGGAAGCCGTGCTACATGGAGAAACCGATGGCGAGGTATGCCTACGCCACCGCCGCAGTTTGCTGTTGTTGATTTTGTGCTTGGGACTTGACTGGCGATGCTGCTGCTGTGCAGCCGCAGCGCCCATATGGCACTGCGCAGGTCAGGATGGGATGTTTTCTTGTGTGCTTCAATGGCTCTGCATTTGTGGATGTGCTCCTTTGTTGTGCGAGACTCGAGTTGGAGTGCGTCCTGCGCGGAAACGCGTACGCACACGTGTGTCCGACGTTGCGCTGCCGTGGTGCGGGGACTGCAAAACGCTTCACACAGCGTTGTTGCAAGGGGGTCGGGGCTGTTTGGAAGCTGCTTGCCCTCGTCGCCAACGGATTTCCGACGTACATGGGTGGTGCCGGACTCAGCCCCTGATCCGTTGCTTTGACGTACTTCATTTCGCCTTTCGCGCTTTCCTGTTGCGTTGCGCAGGAGCCACGCTGAGTGCCTCGACATGACGGCCGCCTTTGAGGACGCAAAGATCCCGCTCTACATGTGAGCCCTCACAGCCTGTATCTGTATATTTTGGTGCCGCTTTCGGCGCGCCAGTAATGCACGAAAACAATCCGCATTTCGTGATAGGAACTGACCTTGTCGCGTGACATGGTATCACAATGGTACACAGAGCACTTTCCAACCACTAATTGAGAGAGTCCCACGACATGTGCCTGTATCCCCGAGGCCCTCGTACACCCTGGGCTTGGACGCTTGGTGGTTTCGTTGCTACAAAAGCTTCTTAGGTCACATGTTCTCCCCGATCAAGCTCGAGCAGTACGTCGACGAAATTCGCGCATCAACGAGCTCGAATACACAGCGAAACTTTGCCCAATACTTGTCGCCTTTTTGCTGGTCCCGCCCGCGGCCGGGCCAACGTTTTCGTTGTCGCCGATCAAATTACTCCGTCTGCTTGCTGCTTCCCCCCACGGCACGGCAGCGGGTACTATCGACGATATCTCCCCAAGTTCGTGTACGTCAAGTCTGTCATAGACTCGGGCACCATCGGGCGCGTGACAAGCGTGAACCTCCGCCTGTCTCAGTCTCGACACAAGTTTGAGGGGGAGGAGGTCCGCGCCGATTGGAGGGTCGATGCGACCAACGCCGGCGGCGGGCTGTTCATGGACCTCGGGTATGTCGCCTGCCCCAAGCAACCACTTCGTCACATGTGTTACGATGTTTCTGGACTGGATTGCGTAGACTCTTTACGTATGGAACACGACGTCGCTCGGTGGTGTGTGGCACGTATGACCTGCTTCGGTAGAGTCAATTCCCTGGGTTGTTCTGCTGGCGCTTCCCGTATTTTTGGCTTGCAGTTTCAGGCAACGGTTAATACAGTTTGGCATCCATCTACTGCTGCGGTCAGGATCAGGTTACGGCCAACTCTGCATCTCGTTATTGCTGGCAACAAACGCACGCAACCTGCCACGCGATGACATCTCATCCACCAGCGGACGGAAAACGGACGTGCACCCCCCATGAAGATGATGCCCCAACCATTGGAACAGCAGCAGCCAGTCTCTCGTACTCTCACCAACAGCGACCGCTTCTGTCTTTTTCCTGCTGCAACCCCAATCGCCTGTTCAGGTCCCACCAGCTCGACCTTTTAGACCACCTCGTCGGCCCGCTGCGGCCGCTGGGGGGCACGGCACAACGCCTCCGTCCGAGTGCGGGTCTGCCGGGACCCTCTTTCGCCGTGGAGGACGTGGTGTGTCTCTCCTTCTCGACGGCCTCGGGCGCCGTGGGCACCGCGTCCTGGAACTTCTGCTCCGGGGTTTGGGACGACACGATAGACATCGTGGGCGAACTGGGCTCCTTGTCCTTCTCCTGCTTCAACAACAAGCCGGTGAGGCTGGAGGTCGCGGCGAAGAAGAAAGCGGCGCCAGAAGACGGAAGCAGCAGCAGCAGCAGCGCGGCGCCACGAGCGGTGGAGCGCCTCAAGGAGCCGGAGGTGACGATGCACCAGGCCGAGCAGCCGGACCACGTGCACCAGCCGCTGGTGGAGGCGGTGCTGCGGGACCTCCGTTTGTGGGCGTCCCTCCCGAAGGACTCTCCCGAGAGAGCTCGCCTGGCCGCCGGCCTGCGGCAAGAGGAAGACGAAGCAAGAGCCAGCGGCGGCGGCGGGGTCAGAGACGCTTGCTGCAGCAGCACCGGCAGGGCGGCCGCCCGCACCGCGCTCGTCATGGACCGCGCGCTGGAAGGGTTTTACGGGGGGCCCGGCAGCCGGGACCAGGCTTTTTGGGAGTCTCCAGAGAAGTGGGACAAGGCACTGCTGTAGTTGAGTTTTGGATTTTTGCAGCGACGGTGCTCCACCTGGGTGCGAGGTTGGTCCAAGTTGGTTCTCCGGCAGGAGCAAGTGCTGTCGTTAGAGACACACGGCAGGTCACTGCCGTTGCTAGGTTTTATCATCGTGTCGGATTCTTAGGAAGTTATTGTTACATGCGTAGGTGTGCTAGGGCGCGCGGTGGTGAAATAGAGTCGGGTGACCGAACGAAGAGTAAGAGTTCTTGATGCAGCACAAGAATTGGCGCTGGTGATGCCGCTGCTGTGGGGGGTGTTGGTTCCCCTCGGCACGTCAACTGTGGCTTCTAGGTGGACTGCGGTTGAAACGTTGGCTTATCTCATACACCATCGAGGGGGTAAGGTTTGTGCAGCTTCTCCAACCAACGAAGGTTTTGGATGGGTGCAGCGCGTACTGTGGGGCGGAGGGAACAACTTGACGCGAGAACAAAGGAGGAGTGTTGGAAACGTCTCGACAGCCGCAAGAAAACGGCCAACGTCATGTGTTCGCGCAATCATGCCCAAGCGAATCGTGTCCAAGTCTTGCTTGATTTTATCTACGGTGTACACGTCATGCCCTCGCTCCCGTTCCCCATGGAGGGGTGTTGCATCAGGGGCATACTCTGTTAAGAGGGGGGACGACCGCTGCAAAATACAGAACGCAGAGAAAAAGCCAGTCGTAGTGTCCCAGCTGTGTGCCCTGTATAAGCCGTCTTCCACTGGAAAGCCGTCTACTGGAGTACAGGTACACGCACTAAGTTGTTTCGCCAAACGCTAGCAAACCAGGGGATACACCAAGTACGTAATCACGGAGAAAAGCGCCTGCTATGGTGAGACAGGGGGTGGACACCGCTATCAAAACAGTGTTATTGGCAATCTAGCAGCCATCTGGATACAATCCAGAAATGTTCAAAAGAAACAATAGGAGTTTTGCAAAGCCGGTTTTCGGTTTTACGGGAGAACGGCTTTTCGATTTAACCGGATTCGGTTTTTAAGATGCCAAGCCGGCTACAAGTAACGCTTATCACGACCATCAAACAACACCGGTGTGCGCTTGGCATGAGCAGCTTCGCGTTTCATTGAGGTTCAAGTTTGAGACAAAGAGGGTGAACAATGGCAAGCGTGTAGCACGCAACGACGCGCACTACACCGAACCCTGTTTTTGTCGGGAAAAAGAAAAGAAAAACCGATTCAGATGCGATTGAAATTCCAAATAACAGTCAACATCCAAAAAACGAGGTGGGGAAGCCCCGGCGATCACGATGAGAGGATCAACACGACGCGTCTCAAAGACTGCAAACTGCACCGCAAAAAGTTGGGACTAGTACCGGCCGGTGTCACCGTGGATAGAACAGAGAGACGAAGCGCAGGACAAGAGAGACGCAACAGCCAGACCATAAAACATAAAATTCCTTCCCCACAAGATCATGCACACCTGGCGTTTCTACCAGCGTCCAAAGCACAACACACCTCCGTTCTGCGTCTTCTCTGGGAACAACACCACAGCCGCTTCCAGTGCTCCTGAGGACCACAAACAACCTCACTTTTCGTCTAAAAACATTAGTTGAGTCCGCAATGAATGGCGAGAGTCAGTCGTTTTCGGCGAAGGAGACCGCGTCCATCCACGCCGCGGCCTTAAACTCCGCCGTCCAAACCAGCGGCGCGTCCGTCACCACCCGGACCACGTCCCCCACGACGCGGTTCGACGAGCTCACGCAGACCCCGAACTCCAGCCCCCCCCCGTCCAAGTTCCACCGCAGCCCCTCCGTGGTTACCGCTCGGCATGGGCCGCCAACCGGCAGGAGTCCCACCGTCGGCCCTTCGAACCTCGAGTCCGGCTGCACGGCGTGGCTGAGCCCCGGCTGGAGGAGGAAGGCGACGTTCCCGGCGCCCATGAGCACGAGCCGGTGGAAGCGAGAGGTGTACGCGTGCAGGAGGCTGACCGCTTGCATCTCGTGGTCGAAGCGGCCGCCAAACGCTCCGAGGCCCACCACGGTGGCGCCGCACGGGGCGCTGCCGCCGCCGCCGCCGCCAGCTGCCGCCGATGGTGGCGGCGAGGACAGCCGGCTCTCTACCTCTACCAAGCACTTCTCGAAGTCGCAGTGGTCCTGGTCGTCGCGGAGCTTGATCTCCGAGCCCAAACCTTCGTAGAAGCGGGCCACCTCCGGTCGTAGAGAGTCGAGGTCGCCGACGATGATGTCGGGGACGAAGCGCGCCCTATCTTGGTGTCGATCTTCGACGTCGCCGCCGCCGCCGCCGCCACCGAAGCTGTCGTGGAGCCGATTGGCGCCCCCGTCCGCGCACACGCGGAGGTCTGCTCTCCCCCAGAGGTGGCGCAGCAGGCCTTCGCTCTCGCCCTCGCCTTGGGTGTTGAGGATCACCAGCGCGAGCGGTCCGGCGTCTAGTCTATCGTTTTCCGCCGCTGCTATTGCTGCTGCCTGGTCATCGTCATTATTGCTATCTTCGTTGCTGCTATTGTTGCTGCGTTGTTGTTGCGGTGGTGCTGCATTCGCGAGGCCTAGTGCTTCCTCCTCCGCTACCGGTAGTCGATTCTGCTCTTGATGTTGCTGTTGCAGCGGCAGCAGGAAGGTGTTCCGATGCCGTTTCACCGGGAGCCCTGATGCTGCTGCTGCCACTGCTACCGAACACGACGCGGAAGAAGACATACCAATCGACGCCTCGTGCCGACTTCTTCTTCTCTGGGGCACCAACACCGTCAGCTGTCGAGCTACCGAGCGGTGACCGTCGCCTGTACCCAGCAGCGGAGAGCAACCCCACCGCCGTGCAGCGGGAGCCGGCACGGAACGATGACTGCAACCTTGCCCGCCGCGGCAACCTACAACAAGGAGAGCTCGTCCTCCACGCATACAGAGCGAGAGGCAAACAACAACGGCCGTGAGAGAGATAGGAGCGTCGGACACCACGCGTACCATGCAAGCTACGTGGTTGTGTACCAGAGCGCACGCTGCAGCGGCAGCGTGGTGTGCTGGTGGCTGGGTGCAGAAAAATGCGGCAAAATGAAGCCGCAGGGGGCTCCGTGATTCAATGATCTTGTCCGCACATACCCTACTCGAGCCGGGGGAGTGGCGTGCGTCTCCCCGCCTCCGCTGCCGTGTGTCGACAGCAGCACTGGCACTTCCTTCTCGCTCTCCTCTCTCTGGGAGAGTGGCAGACGAAGGCACGGCACCATGTCGACGATCACGTCGTCGGGCTTTTCTTTCGAAGAACAAGCTTCCCAATACGCCGACTTCACGGCTGTCGAAATTGCTGAGCTCGTCGACATCGCGGTGAGAGAGGGTCATGCCGATGCGTTTTTGGATAACGGAGAGAATGAGCCAGACTATGTACAAGCCGTGCGCGGGGCGTTTGGTGCTGTGGATTGTCATGCATGCATATGCCTAGAAGAGCACATCAATACGAGCTAGGTGGGGGCAGAAGATCGAGGCCGTGCTGTTGCCTTGTGCTTGTACGGCGAGTATTCGGAAAGAGCAAGTATATACGGCCGCCCGTCTGTTACAAACGTCCATGTCCGTCCGCACCCGCTGTTGGGAGTAACGAATCACGTACTTCCAGCTCCGGGGTTGTGGATCATGCACCAAGTTCGTATAGAATACAATTGTGCATGGTGATAGACAATGCGACTTCCAGCTCCATCCCTTGATGGGGTTGTGGATCATGCACCAAGTTCGTATAGAAGAAAAATAGTGATAGACCGCATCCGACGAGGACCAGCAAATAAGCGCGTGACGAGGGTAACTAACTGCTGTTTGATCGGATGCACGAAAGTTCTCAAGTAAATTTCCCGAGGGACATTTACATTTCCGTGCCATTTTTGTTCCTCCGCGCGCGCTCATCGTTTGGAACCGACCGAGTGCATCGGTCGACGGTAATGGTGTCGTCCGCTGGTCTAAAAGTACCACTGCTGCTGCTGCTTCTGCTGCTTCTGCTGCTGCTGCTGCTGTGAATACGAAAAGAACTGCAGGCGCAGCACTCCCTCTTCTCAGTGCCCGGCCCCAGTAAACACACATAGAAACATAAAAACTGCTGCTGTGTCGCTTGTCCCAGAGCTGCGGTTCGATGCTCGCGAGAAAGTGATTGCCATCTATGCATACCACTGCTGTAATGATATACCACTTAATAGTAATAGACAGGGGGTGGCCTGCCGGAGCGACACCCGACCTGCGTCGGGAAAACTCAGCGCTCGCTCTCCCCTCCCTCTCTTTTTGGGGATCGCGCGAAATCATGGTTGCCGGTAGACAGAGCAGTGTACGTCCCGCGCGCGTGCGTTCAGCATTAACTTTCAGTTCGGCGGGGAAACTCCGACAGATCGGCACTGAATTATTGAATGAAGGCCAAAAAAGCTTACAAGTGTCATCAAGGGGTGATGAAAGATGAAGATATAAAACCAGACAGCAGGACCAACGCTCAGCTGACTGCGGTGTGACGTCGTTTCCGCCAAGCTCAACAGCTAGCACAGCTGACGTGTTTCTGACGCGAAGAGCCCAGCTAGCACAGCTGACGTGTTTGGTTTTTTTACTGCAATTTACAAGTCTCAATGCAGCAGTCCTAGCTAAAGCTATCCCGAAATAATTTGTGTCGTCTTCGTCAATAGTTTGTCCTTTTTTTGCGAGAACAAGGACCGCTCACTTTATAGGATATGGCTGCTGTTGTCGATGACACACTTCTTAACCTGCAGTCGAGCTTTTCTTCATGTCGATGACGAAGAAGAAAGCTCTGTAACGACCGTTTCACTTGTCATGCGTTTGGCCGTCGGTGTGGTTTGTCGGTGACTCCTCTCCACAGACCGAAGCAACTGCAAAATAAAGCTAAGCATGGCCTGGGTGGAAAACGCTAGTTCGTGTGTACACAGAGGGAAGGGAGTGTTGCACTCTTCTTCGCATTGAAAATCGAAGGCAAAGTACCGCAAGAGGGGTGGGGGGTGTACTCATACTCATTGTCGTGCATGCCTGTAGTCGTTAGACCATTGACCTCGCATCCCTACAAAGCCGGGACGGAATACGCCAGGTTCTCACCGGACCAGGCTCTCACATCACCAAGCGCGAAGCGTCGTGAGGTATTCGGCGAGTCGCATGAACGGTGCGCTGCATCCTGCTACAAGGGTGTTCGGCATCGTGTGCTCACTTCCTTGCGACAGGATGACAGCTGCGTATGACTTAATTTATTTTCTGGTGCTTCCACTTCCAGAGGCAGTTGTAAGCACTGTGTAACTGCCTCGAGGGTGCTTGACCATATTAACACAACGCGGTGTGATCATCCCGTTTGTGCGAAGTGAGGGTTCTCCACCCCGCACAACAAAATCTACTCGACCACCATTCTGGTTACCACAAAAAGCAAACCAGGAAGAAAAAAACGGTAACCTGGTTGTCGAGCTCACGAAGCGATCGGCTTGTTTTATAACGTCGTTGCCAAGCAACGAAAACCCAACCCCAATGGCAAACACCGGGAGGCAGGAGGGGTGGGTAGGGGGGAAACCCTTCTGTGTGACCACGGGTTGGAGTGAACAGCATGAGTGCTGTCATCGCTGATTTGAAGGAAGTGAGGACAACAACAACAAAAATACCCCCCAAGCTGTGTATATGGCGCGTCTTGTGCGGAGGGATGATAGAAACCGGGAGTCTTGTAGCTTCCCTTGCGTGCAGGCAGAGAGACGGGAAAACAAACCGACGAAATCACGACGTGTGCGTGACACATCCCAATCCCACTGTTACGGGGATCAATCGTCGAGAGACTCAAGTGTGTAGGTGACGCTGCTCTCACTGTGGGGCGTGGGCTGAACGGTGTTGGTGTGGGGGCAACTGCAGTGTTTGTTTGGTTTAGGACAGCCCAACAGCCCCACCCTCCGGGCAAAAGATCCGAAAAAAACGACATACAGGGTGAGGCTGTTCCAAAAAGTTGTCCAAACCGTGATGGATCCAAAAGTTACCTTTTTGAGCGCAAGAAGTGATCTACTTCTTCGTATCTGTTAGGCTGAGTCTTACGGTGTGATTATTTCAGGGATTTTTTTTTCTCTCGGGGGGGGGGGGGGGGGGGGG